TGAACTATCAACGTTTTGAATTGTAAACTTTTTGAAAAAAGTAAATTTCTTTTGTTGCTAAAAAACTGATTTATATGAATTGTTGCGCCAAAAGAACGTTTTTAAAGTTCCTTTGTTGTTAAGGAAAATTTTATTTTTTCACGAACTGTTGTTTTCTAAGAGAAAGTAGATTTATATTTAAAAAGATTTGTTAATCTGCCTTGATAGCTTGCCCCAGACCTATATTGTATTTAATACAGTTTTGTATATTGAAAAAAATATTTTTGACATTCTTAATAAATGTTTGTTTCTTTGAAAATTTTACTGGGACCAAGTGTCTTCTTTTGTTTTTCGTATTTAAAAATATTTGTAAAGGGAGGAATAAAAAACTCTCCTCTTCAAATACTCTCCTCTTAAAATATTCTCCTCTTAAAATACTTTCCCTTGAAATCTTTTCTTAAACTACTCTCTTCTTAAAATACTCTCCTCTTAAAATATTCTCCCTTGAAGTCTTCCTCATAAAATACTCTCTCTCGAAATCTCTTCTTAAAATATTCTCCTCTTCAAATACTCTCCTCTTAAAATATTCTCCTCTTCAAATACTCTCCCTTGAAATCTCTTCTTAAAATACTCTCTTCTTAAAATACTCTCCTCTTAAAATATTCTCCCTTGAAGTCTTCCTCATAAAATACTCTCTCTTGAAATCTCTTCTTAAAATATTCTCCTTTTCAAATACTCTTCTCTTAAAATATTCTCCTTTTAAAATACTCTCCCTTGAAATCTCTTCTTAAAATACTCTCTTCTTAAAATACTGTCCTCTTAAAATATTGTCCCTTGAAGTCTTCCTCATAAAATACTCTCTCTTGAAATCTCTTCTTAAAATATTCTCCTCTTCAAATACTCTCCTCTTAAAATACTCTCCCTTGAAATCTCTTCTTAAAATACTCTCTTCTTAAAATACTCTCCTCTTAAAATATTCTCCCTTGAAGTCTTCCTCATAAAATACTCTCTCTTGAAATCTCTTCTTAAAATATTCTCCTTTTCAAATACTCTCCTCTTAAAATATTCTCCTCTTAAAATACTCTCCCTTGAAATCTCTTCTTAAAATACTCTCTTCTTAAAATACTCTCCTCTTAAAATATTGTCCCTTGAAGTCTTCCTCATAAAATACTCTCTCTTGAAATCCCCCTCTTAAAAATACTCTCTCTTCTTCCTTTTCCTTTGGATCCTTTTTTTCTTTTTATCATCTATACTCAAAAATCATTTTATTCAATGACCTATATATACGCGGATAAGCAAAAAATTATTCGTACTTTTACCATAACATATATTTAGATTTGTCACCCTGCCTTCTGCTCATGCGTACTTATAGTTGGTAATACGGTGGTCACGTGATCGAAGTTTGAGCTTGATCGCGCCAGTTTTTTTTTGTTTTTTTTTTTTTTACTGCTGTTATAGTATAAATATGGCTGCGGCATTAGCAGTGTGCACCAAGGAAGAACAATGTGCAGTGATCCGAATATCCATAGAACATTGCTACCTCATCGATGATAACTCGGTGAATTTTCCATTACCATTTCTCGATCTCGCTGAATCTACTCATCAGTGGTGGAGGCTGGCGGTCGTCCTGTTCCTTCTTCGTGCGTCACGCTTGTCCGGCCACTTTTAAACATCTCGATCCACTCATACACACTTCTACGCGGTAGTGCACTGTCGCCATATTGTGTTAATAGCCCCCGATGAATTTTCAGCCCGACATACATTCTGACTAGAGAAATCGGATCACTGCTCTTTGTTCCTTCTAGGTGCACACTGCCAGCGGAGCGGCCAGGTTTACACTGTGACAGCGGCAAGAAAACCGGCGCGATCAACTTCAAACTTCGATGACGTGCCAACAATAGTACCAACTATAAGCCCGCATGAGAAGATTGCAGTACGATAAACCGAAATGTATGTTATAGTGAAAGTGCGGATGATTTTTGACTTACTCTCGTATATAACAAAAGCGAATAGAGTTATCTATTTTCAAACAGAGAACACTATTAAGCACCGTGCTACAAAAGAAATAGTATGATGTGCAAAATCTGGCGTTAAACTTCGGTTGATCCACTAATATATATATATATATATATATATATATATATATATATATATATATATATATATATATATATTTAGGCAGCAATCCTTCCTTTATGCATGTTTCATTAAAAACGGCAGACAAGGTACTAGGGTTAAGCTTTTTATTTAACTTTTTTTTGTGTTTGAACAAGAACTTTCTTTTCTGGACAAAGGGTGTGTAAGAACTGTCTAAATGTTTTATATTTCCGAGCGCTTTCGGCTATACCTTTAGCCATTATCGAGGAAAATTCGATTTTTCAGCTTACTTGAGTGTGTGCGTTCAGTGTATGTCTTAGTGTGTGGTAGGGATGTTTTTAATTTCCGAATACGGTTAGCACATTGTGGCTTTGTTCGTAGTTAATATTGTTAAGAGTTGGCTTTTTCTTTTTTATTATTAAAGCTTCCATTATTTTTAGTCTTTTTTTGCAGGTGGGTGCAGTTAATATATTTGTGTTTTCTACTGGTATGTTTCTAATCGAGTCTGGTAAATTTTTGTGTGTGTTTAAATGGGTTCTAATGGAGCTGTGATCAGATAGGTGTAACGTTAGACGTCTGTATAAGCATGTGGTTGTGTAACCGATGTAATTATTTATGAGTCCGGTTTGATCAGGAACACAGTTCTCTAAGGGACATTTGAACTCATAGATAATGTTCGTTCTTTGTAATTTTGACTTAGCTGGTGTGTTGTTATTTTTGAGGATAAGGTTGGCTGTCTTAATTTTTTTTATAATAGATAATTAATTTGATTTTTTTATTCGGGTCAATTGGAGTAGTAACAGACTTCAATATCTTGAGTGCTGTCATTCCAATTCCAGATAGTTTCTGTTTTTGGAAAGGTTTATCTTGAGTCCTACTTCTTGAAACGCGTGCTGGATGATGTTGATCGTTGTTCAAGATCATTCTTATACCACCTATGAACACCTATGTCCTTAGCATAGCCCCCCACACACACACCTCATCATACGTACATTGGCCTCGGGAGGGAAAGCAAGAACGCTGTTTTGTATTAGTAACTTTTTTTGCGATGTTGCATGGAATGCTCAAACGATTGTTACCTATTTCTTCACATCTAAGTCTTTTCCATTTGCGTTTTCACAATCAAATCAATCTTGACCTCTTCATGTCGAGAGTCAGCCATTATCTTTCCTGCATAGACTCATGAGCTTCCCATCTTGCCATTTCTTATGCTCATACATCACCACACAGTAACTCACGAACTTGAGTGGCTCTTGAGCCTTGTATTGGGTGAACATTAGTAAAAAAAAAATCAGTGCTTGTATAGGCGCAGGGTATAGTCGAGGTGGAGATTAAATAGATCGAGTCTCTCATTTCTCCCTTATTGTACACCATTATTGTAAATGTTTAAGTAATGGGTTCTTTAAACAAATATGTACGACTTTGTGAACCAGTACAGTTTCTCTGTTAAATCTCGACTGTCAGTTGTGTCAGTGCTTGGAAGGTGTTTTTCTGTCTGTTACTATTTTTCGATTTTTTAACAAGAAAAATCTCAAGTTGATGTTAAAGATTGCCGCAAAACGTTGCTGATTTATTTAAGATGGAATCATCTATGATGATATGTCTTTGATTTATATTTAGATATATTGTATTTATTTTCAATTTTTCAAACTGAATTGTTCACCTGTATGGCATACGGTTCATTATGGCACATAATTAGGTTAAAATAAAATTTGTATTTTATGACAATGGGCATGGAGTAGAGTAAGGGTTCCTGTATACATATATTCGGAGTGCAGGCACGAGGTTGGCTCTTGCACGGGCCCTATATATATATATATATATATATATATATATATATATATATATATCTGTGTGTGTGTGTGTGAGAGAGAGAGAGAGGGGGGTGATATTTAAGCAGGAAGAATTCATGCAAACAAGTTTTGATAAATTCAACCGAGAAGTGTAAATTTGCATTGTATTTTTGCAAATTTCGAATATATTTCAAATCGAGAGCAAAATTGCGAATAATTTGTCCGAAGTTCATATTTTTTTATTTTGTTTGTTTTGTTTGTTCATATATATATATATATATATATATATATATATATATATATATATATATATATATATATATATATATATATATATATATATATATATATATATATATATATATATTGGTATATTGAAATACCTCCCACATAATGGTAAGACATTAGTGGCAATAGTGTCTACATCTATCTAATGTCTTACTATTATGTGGGAGATATATATATGAGAGGTATTTATCACGCACACTCTGTATATATATATATATATATATATATATATATATAATAAAAACTTGGATAAGCAGAACGTGCCGATATATTCATTCTAACACAAGTGTGCATATATATATATATATATATATATATATACGAAAAATATAGTTTTAAGGTATGCTGTATTTATGGACTGAAGTGATCAGTATCAGTGATAGAGCGTATGTATATATAAAAGTGGACATTGACTTTAATTTCCACTTTATATATATATATATATATATATATATATATATATATATATATATATTGTCAAAATAGTTTGAATAATAACGACCAGTTCTCTCTATCCAATTTTTATTAACTTTATATATATCTGTGTGTGTGCGTGTATGTGAATATTTCATTATAAATCATAAACAATTGACTGATTGATTTGTTTTTACGGCTTATCAACCTTTTGCAGGTTATTTAAAGCCGAAAAATATTTTTAGCATCTAATCATTTGGGGAAGACATACTAATGTTTTTCTGGTACAAGACCTACATAGCTAGGGATGGCTTTATGCTTTTCTCAGGGGTATTTGTGTGTAGATAAACAACAACGAACTTGAAATAGGTACTCGACATCGGTTTACAAATCCTAGCCTTTATCAATTACACCACGTGAATATCCAAGCTTACAGCAGCGGGTATTCCCAAGCGGTTACCCATCTCGGTATTGACCAGGCTCGATGTTGCTTAACTTCGCTGATCGTACGATAACCCGAGCGCTTTCAGCTAACACTTTTGCTATATATCGGGCGGGGATAATCTGCTGTGGTTTCCAGGATTAATAATATATTTCGTTTTTTATAGTGTGTTTTGTGAAAAGCGTTTTTCTTTTTAATGGAATTTTACTGGTAAGTACAGAAGAAATATTAAATCAAATCTCACAAGCCATTCCCTGTCTGTCACTTTTAACGGGACATGCATAAAAGAAGGTTTGCTGTCCACATATAATACAGTATATATATATATATATATATATATATATATATATTGTAGGTGGTACTTCACCTAAAATACATTGACGCTAATTTGGACACTAAAATGGCATCCATTTCACGTAGGATGAGACTGCACGTCATCCAGTAACGATGACCCGAAAATAGCAGGTCGGGATTAATCTTTAGGCAACTCACGTGTCCAAGTCTGTCTCCTAAATCATTGTAGCCTTTTGAACATGCCCGGGCCATTTTGGATCATGAAATGAGTCACACATCCGGGGAAGCTTCTACAAATTATAAATTATTTCGTGTTTTTTTTTTCCTTTTTTTTTTTTTTTTTAGACAGGTCTAAATTTAATTAATTCTATTTTCGAAGAATAAGAATTTTGTAAAAATTGTCAAAGTGTGCTCACCAGTAATTTAAGCAGTAATATTTTTTTAAAAAAATATTTAGATTATTGAATAAACATTATGATTTGGAAATGAAGGTGTTTATTTTCTGATATATGTAAGACATTAAATAAAATTTATTGTTTGCAAGGTCTATTTGCTCTTGTAATGTGTTTTTTTTAAGCGTTTCACCCCAAGCAAGGCGGGAAGCCACTAGCACGCAAGGGGTTGCAGAGAGTTGGAGCGAGAGCAAATAGGAGTGATAGAGGAAAAGATGAAGAGAAGGATAGGGGATAGATCAGAGCATCTGGAGACGTCGATTGACATTACATTTGAATAGTTGGAGATTATAGCTATAAGGGAAACAGGAAGAGGGGAGGGAGTTCCACAGGCTAGAGGTGCGAGAGATGAAGCTATTGGAGTAGAAGAGACGGCTACATTTAACAGTTTCGACTGTTGAATAGATGTTGTTGCTTTTGCTCTGATTTTGTTGATCACTGAGAATATTCTGGTTTTAAAAAAGCTATCTATTCACGCTTGTAATATCTTTTTGGTCCATCGAATTGGGGTTATTAATGTTCTTTTTTTTGTGTTGAGATTCGTGATTTTCAAACGGTGTGCCGTTAGAGGATCATAGGTGTGCCTCAAAAAATTTGAAAGGTCATTAATTAAAGTATTTTCTAAAGTAGTCCTAAACACAATACGTGTGTGAAGAAAACTTTTTACAATAAACAATATTAAAAACAAAAATTGATCATTGGTAGTATCCTCGGAAAAAATATTGGAGAATATGCCTGTCCAACATTCGACCTTGCAGGATATTCTAAAAAACCTTCATTAAATGTTAAATTATAATAAAAATAAAAATAGATACAAGTTTTTTTTTTTTTTAATGAATTTTAATTATTATCTTCTTATTACAAATTATAATAAACTATTTTTCTGTTAATATTTATTAATCATAAAATTGTAGTTTTTTTATCGTTATAATTTAGGTGTGCCGCGGAAGTTCAGCTTTAGGTTCAAAGGGTGTCGAGAGATAAAAAAGGTTGAATAAGATTGGTCGTGATGAATTTTCTATGTCTTATTAATAATTGATAAAGAGATAGTTTCTATGGCAACTTACTTTGTAAGAAGGGTGTTCGTCAAGTTTAATCAGTTCCTATTATGGTTCTTGTTTGAAAATAGAAGTGTCTATTGTTTGTTTTGTTTATCATTGAAAACCGTTTTCTTTTTCAAAAAATGGTGTCTATTATATTAAATAACGCTTTCTTTTTTTTTTTAAAGAAAACAAAACAAAGTCTTGCTTCGATAGTAACTTTGATCAGATCGATAAGGTTTAATCGGCAGCTGATGTCATAAACGACCTTCAGTCTGTTGTTAACTGGGGCAAAGAATGTCTCATTAGTTATAACACCTCCAAAACAAAACTGCTCTCTATTAATCATCTGAGAGACCTGTTTCTGTCCACCATCAGCATATGGCTGATACTAACCTCCAGGAGAATTATCTCGGGATAACGTTCACGACTGTCATGAAGTGGAAAGACTATATTGCATTGCTAGAATTTATTTATCAGTCTACCATTTACCGATGCTTAGAATATTGCTGCTATATATGGTCCGGTGCTCCTGCTATATATTTAGAGATCTTTGATAGAACCCAAAGAAGAATCAGCAATATTATTGGTCCTGATCTGGCATCTCGGCTTCAGTTACTTTCCCACCATCGTAAGGTTGCCTCCCTATGACTTTTCTATAAATACTTTCATGGTAATTGTTCGGATGAACTTTCCGTTTTGGTACCTAGACTTTATGAATGTAAGCGCAGTACTAACGAAGAATATTGCATGGACGTAAAAGGAGAATTTAGGAAGCGCAGTACTAGGTTGGCGGTAAGGTCTCTACTACATATACTAAAATATTGTGTTAGCCCAAAATGCAGATTCTTTGATAAATACCCAGAAACAGTTGATCATCTTGTATCAGGTTGCACGATATTGGCACCCACTGAGTATAAAACCCGGCATTGACAGAGTGGGCCAATATCTGCACTGGGAAATTTGCGGGAAGGAAACTGAAAGAAATTGGTATGAACACCACCCAGACCCGGTTACGGAGATAGGACCTGTTACAATTTTATGGGACTACACAATACACACAGACAGAACAATCAAAACTAACCGCCTAGACATTGTTATTAGAGACCCCAAACAAAACAAGTGTCTCCTTATTGATATGGCAGTCCCTGTAGACTGCAATGTATCTTTGAAGATCTTCCAAAAGCTATCAAAATACAAGAACCTTGAAATCAAAATCTCAAAAATGTGGGGCACATGGGAACATGAACAATCCCTGTTGTAGTTGGAACCCTCGGATTGATTTGGTTGGAAAAGATTCCAGTAGACTAATTGAACGGATTCCTGGAAGCCTATGCCTTAAAGAAATACAAAACGTTGTTCTCATGAGTACAACACACACCTTACAAAGGGCTTTATCTATGTAAAATATGTTGGTAGCTTTTTTTTTTTAATTGGTTAGTGGGAAATATGATGCCATTTGTAACCTTAGATCACTGGGTGGAACCCGGAAAGACATGAGTACACAACAGAAAACAAAGTAACTACAATAATAATAATAATAATAAGCGCGTAGAGATGCAACTACAGCACAATACACCGGCTGAAACTGCAAAATACTTAAAAAAGGCAGCAAAGACGAATGCAACCGACCAGATACAGAAACGATGGCAAGATAAACCGCTTCATGGCCAATACTCCGCCCGTACCAAACAAGCTGACGTAGACAAAACCCGTACCCATCAGTGGCTACGGAGTGCAGGGTTGAAAGCGGAAACTGAAGGTTTTATCCTTGCTGCGCAGGATCAATGCTTGCAAGCTAGGAATTATCAAGCACATATACTAAAATATTGTGTCAGCCCAAAATGCAGATTCTGTGATCCAGAAACGATTGATCATCTTGCATCAGGTTGCGCGATGTTGGCACCCACTGAATATAAAACTATACATGCCAGAGTGGGCCAATAGTTGCACTGGAAAATCTGCAACTTCTACGGGAAGGAAACTGAAAGAAACTGGTATGAACACCACCCAGACCCGGTTACGGAGATAGGACCTGTTACGTTGACGATTTATCGGAGAAAAGTTTCAAATGCAGCAAAGGGACCCATTTTTGAAAATAGGATCACAAGCGATGAAAAATGGATTGTTTACAACAGTGGGAAGCGAAAAAGCAGTAGCGAAACGAAATGATCCATCAGGAACCGCCCTCAAACTAGTCAGCAGGGGAGGAAAGTGATGCTATATATATGATGTGATTGGATGGACATTGTGCAATATGAACTCTTTTTGTAACATCTTGAAGTTGAATTCTGAAAACTACTCTTCCCATTTGAAAAGATTAAAGGCAGCAATCGATGGAAAATTTGAATTTTAAAATTGACCAATCTGAATGACATCGTCTTCTATCAAGACAACGCCAAATGTCAGAAATTGGTAGAGTTTCGCTGGGAAGTCTTACGATAACAGGGGCCACAGTCACCTGAACTTGCACCTTCAGATTACAACATATTTTGATCCCTAACAAATTCCCTTATCGCAAAGAACTTCAAATCTCCAGACAATGCCAAATACTGGGAGGATGTGATATTGAAGCTGCAAAAAAAATGACGATATTTACTGTAAAAAATTGATAAATATCTGGTTGAATAAATCTGTATGCAAACATCTAAATATTGTTATATATCTGATCATTAGTTTTGTTTAAAAATCACACCTGTTGCATATTTGATCATTAGTGTAAATGAGTGTTCCGATGTGTTTTGTTTAAAAATCACACCTGTCATATATGTGATCATTAGAGTGACTGAGTGTTCAGATGTGTTTTGCTTAAATATCACACCTGTCATATATGTGATCATTAGAGTGACTGAGTGTTCAGATGTGTTTTGTTTAAATATCACACCTGTCATATATGTGATCATTAGAGTGACTGAGTGTTCAGATGTGTTTTGTTTAAATATCACACCTGTCATATATGTGATCATTAGAGTGACTGAGTGTTCAGATGTGTTTTGTTCAAAAATCACACCTGTTATATATGTGATCTGACTGAGTGTTCAGATGTGTTTTGTTTAAATATCACACCTGTCATATATGTGATCATTAGAGTGACTGAGTGTTCAGATGTGTTTTGTTTAAATAAAATCTGTCATATATGTGATCATTATGACTGAGTGTTCAAATGTGTTTTGTTTAAAAATCACACCTGTTATATATGTGATAATTAGAGTGACTGAGTGTTCAGATGTGTTTTGTTTAAATATCACACCTGTCATATATGTGATCATTAGAAAGTATGGCATCATTGATGAAT